CTACATTTGAGCAGTACTGTCTCACACAGCTCGGGACTCTGGTGAAAATCGAAACCAGCACCTAAGAGAAATGGGTGAGCTAGTCGTACAAAACATGGCTATTACTGGTCATATGCCCTCACAACGTGCTCGGGGATGCATCTGCGAGATATGTACTCTGTTGAGCTGAACTTATGAACATGGAGCAGGAGCTGCACATCTTGGGTCTCCATCCCACTGCGGTATGTGTCCACCCACCACACCAGCGGTTTTCCCAATGTCTGATTGTGGCAAGCTGTACTGATGCCAGGGCCTTTGAAATATTCTCTTTTAGAGTGTCAAAGGTTTAATCATAGTGTTGACCCATAGAGTAAATCAGCTTAAATCTGGTCATTTTTGTTGATACAGCTATATGCTAGTGACTGGTGCCTTCCCATGAAGCAATATAATCATCTGCACTCAGATTGTCTTGTCTCACCACAGCAGTTCAACTCTATGCTTTGCTATTCATATACACTTCTATCTTGAACCACTACAGCCAACCACTGATTATTTTGAGCCACACTAACCCTGTGTTAAACAAACCCTTCCCAAGTAAAGTTTAACAATAAACATGAACAGGTTGAATCCATGCTATTGAATGTAAAAAGATTTTGAATGATGGAGAGAACAGTAAGGCTGGAGCACCTTCAGAACCATAGAATTTCAACTGCTAGTAATGTTCCTGTGGTGCAGTTGGATACGCCTCTTCTCTCCCGTGGTCCAGGTCTCAATTACTGGCGGTCACTGGTTTGAGGCATGCAAGAGGAGGTTTTTTAGCAACCACACCGTTGAACTTTGTTCAAGCCAGTTTAATCTGTGTTCAAACGCAATAAAGATGCCCAAATGCTTCCTCCCTCCCTCACCCCCCACCCATGCCTGCTTAACCGAATCAGTGCTTGAACCTGATTTGGTGTCTAGACAGCCATTGCTTAATCAAACTTCATATAGATTCTTAGAAAAATAGTGCACGAGAAAAAGAGCGACTATAGACGCACTGGCCATCTCGGTTAGATCAAACCGGCGTTAGACTTGGAAGGTGCCACGAATACGATGCGAGACATTCAGCTGTCGTGTTCCGTTTGTCATGCAACAGTAATCGGGCCTGTCACCTTAGCTGACAATGTACGTGCCTCCAAATACACAACAGTCATATTCCAAAATGAATATTTGGCGACGGGCCATGGGCTGGGTGGCCACCCACACCCTAAAACAAAAAGAGACCAACTTTGGCTTCAATTTTTGCAGAAACGAATCAAACAAAGTGCATACTCAAGGGAACTATTTTTATCATCCTAATCAAGAAACCTCGCTAGATGTTGAACAAAGAGTCTCTTTGGTGGAAGCTAAGGTGATAGACCCGGTGACTGTTGCATGACAAAAATATAACAGCTTTCCGCCCCTGGATACTCAAGCCGGCAGTGTGTTAGCGCTCGACCCTGGCGGTCGTCTCCAGTCTAGAAAAATCGTGGGTTGAATAGGTTCGATAGAAAATACCGATCAAATCGAAAGCGAGGCCTACCGTAAGTGCTACCAGCGCTAAGCCTACGAAGACAAGTCCTTTTTCATCCCGCCCGGTAAGCTGGCATGCGCATGGTATTATCAGGGAAAAGGACCTGTCTTAGTAGCAGGTAGCACTTACCGTACGAACTACCAGCGCGACGGAGAAAAGTACTTTTTCCAGAAAGAGGTGGTTAGATAGCAAAATTTAGGCACTGGGCATATGGAACTGACAGGGACGTGCAGACGGTCTAAATGGATGTTTTCTTTTTCCATGCACGCCGACAGTGTCCTACAGGCGCGACATTGCTGACCGGAAATGTTTCCTTCGTAGCGCTACATAGCCAGACACCGGGAGGATAAATGATGGCTACATAGCCAGACGCCCTCACATGCTGACGGAAAATGAGCGGGAGATTTAGCGCTGAACGCATGAGAATAGCACAATGAGCGCTGGCGCAAAAATGGATGGCATTCTTCCAGGGGCACAAGATGTACATAGCGCATGTACTAGATAACTTCTGGAAACCGGCGTTTCTAAGCGGGACAGACCGTGTAACTCTACCTATGTATACCTACCTTCTTTCATTCCCGAATTTGGAATCCTGTTCAGAATTTCCCAACCTTGCCGCCGCGTGCCGACATCCGCCGACGTGTGCCGCGGCCGGCAGGTCGGCAGATCTCAACTTTATTTTGTGTTACTCCCCAAATACATATCCTAGAGGCAGGAAATCGATAAATGAGATATGTTGGAGCACAATGGCAGGGTTTGCAGAGATTTTCCTACGCAGACCACGGCCGCAGGCACGTCCGCACAGGACGGCACAGGTCTGCCTCGGACTGTTGGGAACGCTCCAACTTCGATTTCTTCCTTTCCCTCGACATTAAAATACCGCGAAATTGTCGGCTGCACCCTGGTATATCAGTCTTCATATCGTAAGCAAGCACAGGTGTACATTACGTGTTCACCTTCGACGAACATTCCAGTATGGCAGCACCAGAATTTCTCGATGAAAGCACTATCAATCGGATTCGAGGGTGCTAGCGCCCTTACGATTCCAGGAGAGACGCTCGTAGACTGTCTCGGGACTGTCTCGATGGATATCAATCTATCTTGTAATTATCTCAGTAGGACTGTCGATGACTACCAAGCTACAATGTGCACGAACCCCCGATTCCCTATTGACTGATATGAAGACGTCGTCCACAGCGGCCGTGCATCCGTCGGGGTAAACCTGATATCTGCGAGTATAGCGGACCGAATCCCTTGTCGTTGATCGGACTGAGTGCGGAGCGATGTTCGGGAGAACACTGTTTAATCGTGTTCAAACGCCTCATCAAGACAGTGAAAATTTTGAACAATGACTCGCGTTGTGACGGCGAAGTTTTTAGCAAAGCTAATTGATTATCTGAGTTTGCCGTTTGGAAATAAAAGCAAATTAGATGGGAAACACTGAGACATGAAAAAAGACGCGGGAAAACTTCGTCAATGCCGTCGGGAGGAGTCGAACCCCCATTCCCCTCTGAACTCTTCCTTCTACCACATCAATGGACGAGGGTAGCCGCCCTGGCTTACGACGACTCCCTCTCCTTGTCAAATGGCTGAATAGATGGGCGCGAATCGGAATGATTTTGAGAAAACGCACGTTGTGCACGAGAATTATCCATGTCTGTTCATCGTCTGAAAATAAAAAGAACGTCAGAAGGAGACAATACAAAAACAAAAAGATCTGGATCATCTTGCGCAAATACCATCGGGAGGAGTCGAACCGCGGTTCCCCTCTAAAATTCATCCGCGGGAATTGGTTTAATGAAGGAGGGTGGCCACTGTGGCCTACGACGGTTATACCGTGCTTTGTGAGCCCTAAACTTAGTGGGCGAGAAGAGATTATGCGAGATACCGGAAATTGAAGAAAAAGCACTCTGTGTATAGATATGTATCATGAACAAGTACTTGGTGTTCCTGATGACGAGGTCCAGGAGAGCGTAACTTCCAAAAATCAACGTAATATTGAAGAGAAAAAGTAAGGCAACGGCAGAACGCCCTCTGGATCCATGGAGGAGTCGAACCTCTTACTTCCCATGACGAAATGTCAACAGATCTGGCCACTACATGCGTCGGGAGTGACCACCGTGGTCCACGATGGCTTTCCCTCCTCACTGGATACCGCAATATTGGGCCGCATGTAGACGCGGGCAGGCACTTCGTCTGCCTCAGTTAACTCGGAGCTCTTTCTGCGAGTTCGAAATGCGCTGTAAATGTTATGCATCAGACCGATTCTACGTGTCAGAAAAAAATATGAGGCTTATAAAGCAACCATGCCGCCGGGAGGAATCGAACCCCCAGCGCCCTCGATAAATTTGCCCCGACACATGGCTTAAACATTCGAGGCGACCTCCATGGTCCACGACAACTGTTCTTCCTCGTTAAATATCTGCACTTGTGCGGAGCTTTCAAGTTGACTATTTATTTGAATGGGTTTCTCGTCGGGCTGGCATCATACCGATTCCACGAGTCAGAAAAAAGTGCGATGCTTCAAAGGGATACATGCCATCGGGAGAAATCGAACCTCCATCGCCCTCCATGGATTTCCCCGGCGCGTGGTTCAAACATTCGGGGGTGACCTCCATGGTCCACGACGGATGTTCTTCCTCGTTAAATATCTGCAGTTATACGGACATTTCGGGGTGAGTAGTTATCTGAGTGAGTTTCTCGTCGGGCTGGCATCATACCGATTCTACGTGTCAGAAAAAAAGCATGAAATCTCAAAACCATCATGCCGTCGGGAGGAATCGAACCTCCATCGCCCTCGATGAATTTTCCCAACGCCTGGTGTAAACATTCGGGGGGACCTCCATGGTCCACGACAGCTGTTCTTCCTTGTTGGATACATGGAGTTCTGCGTCGATTTCGGGTTGAGTAGTTTTCTCGACGGGCTGGCATCATACCAATTCCACGTGTTAGAAAGAAAGTTGCACAAGTCGATCAGATCATGCCGTCGGGAGGAATCGAACCCCAAGCGTCCTCGATGAATTTACGGTGTGGTCCAAGCATTCGGGGTGACCTCCATGGTCTACGACGGCTGTTCTTCCTCGTTGGATACATGGAGTTCTGCGTCGATTTCGGGTTGAGTGGGTTTCTCGTCGGGCTGGCATCAGACCAATTCCACGGGTTAGAAAAAAGTAAGAAGTTTTGAACTCCATCATGCTGTCGGGAGGAATCGAACCCCGTACCCTCGATAAATTTCCCCGGCGCCTGGTTCAAATATTCGGGGGGACCTCCATGGTCCACGACAGCTGTTCCCCCTTGTTAGATACGTTCGATACCAGCAGTTCTGAGGATTCAGAGATTTCGGGTTGAGTGGGTTTCTCCTCGGGATGAGTACCAGTAGGGGCGGTGTGAGGTTCGGGAGACGACGGGGAGAGCCTTGGGAGTATATCGAGGTGGTACAAAAAACTGTTGTGACTATGCCTTGTTGGAATGCCATCGGGAGGAGTCGAACCTCCGGCTTCGCATGGAGAGCCTCAAGTAGATGTGCAATGGAGCCGCGACGACCACCGTGGTCCACGATGGCTTGCGGGTGCTCGTATGGTCCCGGTAGCTGGTGGCGAGAGACGGCAGATTGTAGTGGACATGGATGCCGCGCACCCGTATTCTTTCTTGACAGACGTACCTTGCTCGTTCCTCGCCCAATATTGAATAGAGTGCGCATGCGGCACTGGATGTCGCGAAAAGAAAAACCAGAGATGAAGTCAGATTATCAGTTGCAACAGGGATGCTTAGAAATAGTCTAGAGCCGAACGAGCGAAGAGCGGTGAGATCACCAGCCATGTCTTCATGCTCGAGAGGAAGAGAGAAATTGCGCGATGCCGAAATCGTCACGACCGGATCAATCCGGTGCTTGCATCTATTTGCCTGTATCCTCCCGGCCCTTTCGCTTGCTCCTTCTCCGTCATTGGCATGAAACGTCATACGCTCCACCCCGTCCCGTTCGCGGTTATAAGAGATCTACTTGTGCCTGGAATGGAAGCTACAACTCTTGACACCACTCGGACGGAGAATCTCCAGGAAACTTGACTTGCCGAAAAATCCTGAAATCCCGCAAATCTCTTTGGATACTTATCTTATTCTTCACGTCGATTAACCCACAACATCATCTCTATAAATGACGACGATCCACCAGTCTCCCCCGAATCTGGTCCCGACAATCTCCTCTGGTGCCTTGCCACAGACACCCGCGGAAGAATGGGCGGACAGTCTCCAAGATACGCTCGACTCGCATGTCACACGCACGCCCGTCGGAACCCCGGGTCCCAAGCTCCCAGGCGGGTGGAATGACGAGGTTGAGCCGCCGACAAGCAACGGGAAGGCTACCGCGCCGGACCTACGCACATACCTTCCTGCGCAAGAAGATGTCCAGCGCGCGCTTGCCGGCGCAAAAGCATATCTGCCGCAAGGCGTAGCTGCCTACTTGCGTACGTCCCCGTATTCTTCATCTAATGACATTCGACTTATCGCATTCGTTTTCAGCTGGGGCTGACTCGACCTCGTCCCACCCGACGCTCCCGACCTCGAACAGCAGCATGTCTGTCGCCAGTGATGCCGTGGATATCGGCCATGGCGCGTCTGTGCCGTACACGGAGGGCGGCGCGGAGCCCTACTCCACCGGTGTGTACATCTTATCCCTCCTATTCTAGCAGTGTGACTGAATGCATTGTCGTATAGCTGTCGACCTTGGACCCGCTACGGGCGCTCCTTACACAGACTCAGGCGTGGCACCATACGGCGCTGGTGCGGGCTCTGACCTTGGGCGCGCTGGCACGGACACCTCTCCCAGTAACACAGCGTCGTCCCTTAATGAGACCGCCAGCGCGCTCGCTACCGGCGCATCAAGCACCCTTGCATCCGCGAGCGAGATGGTAAAGGCATACGTACCCGCGAGCGTTGCCGACTACCTGCGTAAGTCTGTTTCAGCGTCGCCTTTTTTTGTCAAAATCTGACTTGTCGATCCCTCCCTCCTTAGCTGCCTCCAACTCGACTTCGACTTCGACTTCGACTTCGACTTCCTCCTCGGCGGTCGACCTGGGCCCCGCCACCGGCGCACACTACACCGACTCAGGCGTGGAGCCCTACGGCGCGGGCGCGGGGTCCGACCTCGGGCGGGAGAACGCCACAGCGCGCGAGCAAGAGCGCACGCCGACGCCGACGCGCGGAGACAGCACCACCGCGACTACGGGGCACTCCCTCTCTTCCCCCGCCACCTCCTCCGAGTCCGTCCCGCCCATGCCGGCACTGGCGCTGGAGCGGGACGACAGCAATGTGGCGCACACGGGGCACTCCACCTCGTCTTACGACTCCCCCACCCCCGCGGGCCTCCAGCCCCCGCCCCCCGCCGTCTCGCGCCTTTCTTCCAGCGCCAGCACACAGCTCGTCTTGAGCCCGGGGCAGATGACGCCCCAGTCAAGCACGGACCTCGCGCTCGCGGCGCAGCGCGGGGACGGGGTGCTGGGCGGGGTTGTGGGCCAAGACGGGATGCGCACGCCTTCGCTTGTTAGCGGCGGCGAGAGCGGGTACACGGCGTCGACGGAGAGCGGGCTGGTGGAGACGCCGGGCTCGATCTCGGGGTCGGCGTCTGCGTCTGCGTTTTCGCCCTCGGGCTTCACCCCGTCGTCGGAGGATGATTCCACGTCGTACGGCTTCGGCGTCGGCGGCTCCGCGGCGCTCAACTCCACGCGCCTCGAGGACAACGTCCCGAGTGGAGACGCGGATTGGCGGGAGCGATACGCGAGCCAGAGCCAGAGCGAGGGGCCGCGGGCGCCGGCGAATTCGGCGGCGGAGGCGTTTATGGCGGAGGTGCGTGCGGGTGCGGGTGCGGGTGCGGGTGCGCCGTCCGGGAATTTTGCGGGGCTGGGGCGGGGCGGCGGGGGGGATGGGGAGGGTGCGAAGATGGGGAGCGCGGCGCTGAATTCGGCGCGGTATGAGGATAACGTGCCAACGGGGGAGGAGGCGGACGATGAGGGGAATGTTGATGCGGACGTGGACGCGGACGCTGAGGGAGAGGACGACGATGGGGATGATAGTGCCCAGGCCGCGGATGGGGAAGATCAAGAGCAGGGTGGGAAGGGCGAGGGCATGGAGGGGAAGAAGGGGAAACTGATTAAGCGGTTCAAGGAGAAGATGCGCGTTGGGGGCGCTTAGACGAATGGGTTTTTCTTTCGGGGCGGAGTAATGTGATGAAGAAAATGGTGTACTTTGTCACTTTGTATATATACCCGGAATTGTGAACTCTCGCGTTGGGTCGATGACGACGAAGCTGATCCAGCAAAAAAAACCTTTGTTCTAGTGCTTAACGCCTGCGGTAGGAGTCGAACCTACACGCATCTCGTGCTATATGTGAAAACCGGAATGAGGCGAGAATGATCCCCGGGATCGACGCAGGCTTGTTTCGTGGTGTGGGGAGCACGGTTTTATATACGCCTCATCTGAGAGTGCGCATCGAGAAAGTCAGCGCCTCATCTAATTTACTTGGTTGTCAATGGGCCAGGCTTTTGGTGGCGGAATGAATCCATGCTGCGCAACATATTCGATTACGGGTGTTCAACGTTCAACTCCTGTTCAAGGCGTGGGTCGAAAAATACAAGAATACGCTCGGAAGCAAAAAAAATGAGCTCAATACGCTCCAGTCAATGCCCTCGGTAGGAGTTGAACCTACGTGCTTCTCACCAAACGTTGGAAAATAAGGGACTACAAGTCGAGAATGATCCCCGGGATCAACGAGTGCTTGTTTCTCGTATTCGGAGCGCGGTTTTATAGGCACCTATTCACAATCGGCGGTTGGATCAGCATTTTAATTGGGCGGAAAGATATGGATCCGTCGCGTGCGTCGTATGTTGCAGGATACGAATTGTGGATATTCTGGTAGTTCAAAGGGTGGTTCAAAATGAAACGGCACGACGAAAGCGAGGGTAAATCAGGTTCAGGCTTCGACAAGTTACGGTCTGGAGGTGACGAATTGAGTTTATGCACAGTCGTCGATGAAGGGAGAAGATCAAGAGCGGAATTAATTTCATCGCGTAATTGAACGGTCAAACCTGCTTGATTTTCTGAGTGAAGTAGATGAGGGAATAAGCAATCTCTTATTATAATGCCCGCTGTGCCAGGCATAATACCTAGCACGAAACGACGTGATCTGAGGGAATCTCAGTATAATGGGTAGAATTATGTTGGACAATCCAGAGTGCACTGGAAATAAAAGGAATGTTGTCAAGTTATCGAAGCGTCCGTCGCTGGTTAGGCGGAGCCTCTTTAGCGCGTACTGTATTCCTTTATATGTGTACAGTCAACACGAGTGTCCTACACAAGGAGAGGGTAGGCTCACGATGTGAGTAAACAACAACACGTCTCTCCGCAATACGTTCTTGCCTCTGCGTCTAATTCGCGTTGACTGGCGGCAGGAGGTGGAACACGGTTCGAATTGTTTGACGCCGTTGTATTCATCTGAGATGACTCGGAGGCGCGATGCGATGAAATCCACATAAACAAAGTCCATGAATCGGAGAAATGATGCGAAGTGTATGTATGGACGCGAGGTTGGGAACGAGCAATAGTGAAACATTAACGTACCAGGTTGTACCTCCTGGATTACCAAAGAGACAAACATGGGTGAGCGTGAAAATCAACAAATTCATAAGCTGGAGAGAAGAGGAAATCAGAAGGCTGGCGGGAGTACACCACAAAAAGGTGACGCTTCTGGCCATGCCGTCGGGAGGAGTCGAACCTCCTCCACCTTCTAGGTCGAATTGGAAACTGGATCATCCATGCGGATGCACCTCCGTGGTCCACGACGGATTGATGTTGAGTGGGTTGCTTTCGGTAAATGAGACAAAGCTTCTTTGTTAGAATCCAGAAAACGAAAGTGAGTCCGCATCATGCAATGACTTGGGGACGCCCACCGTCCCGTAAACTGCGACGGCCGTCAATTCCCAGACATAAGACGGCGACGGGCCGCCACTATAAGTTGCGGCCGTCTTTTCCGACTTCTGGGCCTCGAGACGGTACGGGACGGCACAAAAACGGCCGTCAACCACTGAATAACGGGAAGTCGGCCCGTAAGGCAATAATAATTGGGCCCTAGCCGTCTGGTTACTTCCTTGCTCGTTGACCCCGTTCATGAGGGATTTCTGCACAGTCCACGCGTCAGGCGCGCCGTAACACGTGACCGCGCAGATCACTAACTCTCGTCATGGGAACCGCCGGGCCGAGACATCCTCTAGCGAACACATCGATATCCTAGAAATATTCGGCTGTCCGCTGCCTCGTTTATTGCCACACCTTTCACGCGCGCGGCGCCCTCACGGTGGCTCGGAGTCGTACCCACTACCTTTGCTCTCTTCACTCGCCTTCGACGCCAACTGCCATCTCCATAGATGTACATCATCCCCGCTATGGACGCGAAGCGGTCGCTCTTTTCGCTGGCTGCCCGAGTATCGACTGGAATGCACTGTCTCTGTAGATCGAAATACGCAGTACAAAATCCATCGTCATCTTTTCAATCGACCGTCGTCGTCTGATTTG